GGCTAGGGAGTGTGGAGCTGGTGTAATGACAGTGTGAGTGAATGGTGCATGGCGCGCAGCATCGCCATCTCGACGTGTTGCGGGCAGCAGCCGCTGAGCGTGGGGACGTGCACATTTCCCTACCCACCTACCCTTGCAACGCTGAGCTCGCGTCCATCAGATCCACCGCCCTGCACCTCACCATCATGGCCTGACATGCCGCCGAAATCCATGTGCCGACAATTCAGGCCCCGTAGTCCCATGGCGCCTGCTGCATCTCCGGGCGGAGAGCGGTTCTGACGCCGTCACGTGCGCGCCCTGCGCCGCTATCCAGGGCCTCTTCTCTCGATCGGAGCTCGCCGATGGCCATCTCAACGAATGGAAACGCGTTCTGGCCGCCTCTTTGCCGACGCTCCATAGCTTGCTCGTGCCTCAATCGCAAACCGCTCCTGTACAGTTCGGTATCCTCCGTGTGCCGTCCATCAGATAAGGTGCCGTTTCATAAGTATATCTAGCTTGATCGCCCTTCTTGATAACTCTATCCACTCACCTTCAGCTTCCAACTGACCCTCGCCTAATCACATACACCTCGCGCCCTTATCTGAAGCATTCCAGGCTATTATCCTCATCTGCACAGCTTCGCTCGCAATGTCTCAGCTTACTCACGCCCGCTACGGCAAGGACAACGTCCGTCTCTACAAGGTCGACAAGGACCCCAACACCGGTGTCCACACCGTCGTTGAACAAACAGTCTGTGTCCTACTTGAGGGAGACATTGAGACTTCGTACGCTTCTCCACCGAGACTCTAGCATACCCTGTATTAACGATCTCCAGCTACACCAAAGCAGACAACTCTGTCATAGTCGCGACCGACACGCAAAAGCAAACAACCTACATACTCGCAAAACAAAACCCTATCGACCCGCCCGAGCAATTCGCTGCCATCATTGGCGACCACTTCGTTAAGACCTACCCTCACATTCACGCCGCGCACGTTAAGATTATCCAGCACCGATGGACGCGCATGACTATCGACGGAAAAGCACACCCACACTCGTTCTTCCGCGACGGCGAAGAGACTCGCGTGGTCGAATCCGTGACACGCGAGAACGAGGGTGTCTCTATTCGCTCCAAGATTGAGAAGCTCCTTGTTCTGAAGAGCACAGGGTCAGCATTCCATGGCTTCCACCGTGACGAATACACGCGTCTGCCCGAAACATGGGACCGCATTCTGAGTACAGAGGTTGAAGCTGGCTGGCAATGGAAGCTGTTCAAGAACTTGGATGAGGCCAAGGCCGTAGACTTCAACAGTGCCTGGACCGCGGCAAGGGATATCACCATGAAGGTCTTCGCCGAGGATGATAGCGCCAGTGTACAAGCAACTATGTACAAGATGTGCGACCTGATCTTGGCCGCTGTTCCTCAGGTGGATGCTGTCGACTATGCGCTGCCCAACAAGCACTACTTTGAAGTCGGTACGTGGGACCAATTGTCTTCTCCTGCATTCATTCGCTAACATGGCACTAGATCTTTCGTGGCACAAGGGCATCAAGAACACCGGCAAAGACGCCACTGTCTTTGCTCCTCAATCTGACCCCAACGGTCTGATTTTCTGCACTGTTACTCGCAAGGGTACCAAGTCGAAGTTGTAGATGCAGTAGCATCATGCCGTCGCACATTGGTTTTTTGTACATTTCTTTGGGTCATCGAGCGAGTTTTGGAGAGATTGTCAAAGGAGAGTAGAACATTATACCACCATTTCTTTTTGTTCGTTGGGGACGAGTGAGAGTAGTATACCATCTTACGAGTAGAGCGAATGCAACCGTTTTACTCACTCTCGCGGCATATGATGTGACAAATCAGAGATCCATGAGATTATCGAATCGACGTCAAACCCAGTAACCAAGTACATGTGGCCGTAGAATATGAAATACGGCTCAAGGACAATTATGTAGATTTACATGTCTTATACACGCACCCTGATGCTATGGTATATCTTCTCTTGACCCCTTTGACCACCTCTCGTCATGATACTGGTGCCTCCGCATTCTGTGCCTTGACCTCTGCAAACGTCTTCTTGACCTCATCGTGCTCCACTATACTCTGTCCACCACCGTTTCCCACCTTTAGGATATTCTCCTTGTAAGGGTGCGCTCTCCCCTCGAACGTCTTTAACCTCGCCAGCCTGTCCTTCCGTAACCTGTTCTTGGGCAACATGCCGCTGACCGCCTTCCTCAAAACCTCTCCTCCTCCCCACTTGGCGATCATCCTGTCCATGGAGAGTTCTTTGAGGGAGCCCGGACGAGTCGTGTGTGTGCGGTAGAGTTTCTGGAAGCGCTTCTTGCCAGTGGTGTGCAATTGTGAGCAGTTTGTGGCTACAACGTAGTCGCCGCAGTCGGTCGAGGGGTCGAAGATGGGCTTGTGTTTTCCCATGAGGGTCAGGGCTATAGCGGAGGCGACGCGGCCGAGCGCGCGTGGGTCGGAGCCGATGTCGAGATGGTGCCATGAGCGGGCGTAGGCCAGACGCGTCTAGATAACATATTAGCCCTAGAAATAGCACGTCTCGCGATGGTGACTTTGGCTGCGATCATGGAGTTCTGAGATGCGGAGGTCTGACAGAATACACACCTTTCCTATGACTTGCGACATGGCGGCTGCGAAGTCAATGACCTAATAGGCCAAGTATAGTCGGGCGTCGGTATTGACCTGGACTCCGGGGTTCTCGCTCGGGAGATACTGGCGAAGCTACGAGCGGCGTTGGCTTGTCGGCGTGGATGGAAGTCGATGCCAAGCCTGGGATCCAACGTGGATTGGCGATAAAATATGGCCCGGGGACGGCCGCCCGCCCTGCGCCACACCATGGTTAGGTGGGGCCTCGATTTCAAAGCGTCCCAAAGGCGAAGTGGCATGCTCGCAACTTGACCATTCTACCAATAGCACAGGGTTTCAAACAACATTACACTCGAATTCACAATTTTCAACATGACTGTCCCGTCGTTTGAAACCATCTTCGCGGTGCCTATGACCTGCCAGTCGTGCATCAACGACATCGAAGGCTCCCTCCAGCAATTGGGTGGTACGACTGATCCCGATGCACGTCATCCGGCTTCTAACAGCATGTAGGTGTCAACAAAATCACTGCCAACCTTAAAGATCAACTGGTATCTGTCGAGGGCACAGCAGCGCCATCGGCCATTGTTGAAGCTATTCAAGCAACTGGCCGCGATGCAATTCTAAGAGGATCTGGAAGATCAGACAGTATGCTCCATCTTGAATAGTCGGCATGTGCGTCGATTCTAACGTCCGAACAGGCGCCGCAGTATGCATCTTAGAATCGCACGCACCTAATGTAGAGAACAAAGTTCGAGGATTAGTGCGCATGGTTGAAGTAGCTCCGAGTATGACTATCATCGATCTGAGCATAAGGGGATTGTCGCCTGGAACGTACCAGGCCACAGTTCGCGAATCTGGCGACATATCCGACGGACCAGAATCTACCGGCGCCATCTGGGAGTATCTCAAGGCCAAAAAGGAAGACAAGCCGTGTCGGGGCATCTTTGGAACCGTCCAGGTAGGAAAGGGTGGAGTCGGATCTGTGTTCCTGGACAAGCCCATCCACATCTGGGAGATGATCGGACGTAGCATCGTGGTTGCGCGAGAGCAAGACGGCAAGGTATGCGAAACCGCTAGTTGATCTGAGATCTACTCTGACCTTGCACAGTTTGACAAGAACGATCCGGATACGCTAGTGGGTGTCATCGCACGTAGCGCTGGTGTTTGGGACAGTGAGTGCTCTTGGTACCCCACGTGTTCTGCGCATGGCGTGTGGTACTCTTCGCGTGCGTATGTGCTAACGGCTGTGCAGACGACAAGACGGTATGTTCATGTTCGGGCAAGACGGTCTGGCAGGAGAGGGAAGAGCAGCGCGATCGCGGTATGCTATGAGTTCAAGAGACACCAAGATAGACCAAGTAATAAAGTGCCGTCGAAATGCCGTGTTGGTTTGGTGACGAGAAATAGGGCTTGCACCTTGAAATCTAGGCCGAAACTAAGACTGCGCGAACACGGACTTTGCGAGGCCTGGAATCGTCATGCGTTCATGCCTGAAAACGCCAGGCGACGGGATGAGTGGCTGCGGAGAGGCTGCGTCACGTGGCTGTCTCAGTCGGCGGATTTGCACGTTACAGACCTCAAACGCCATCACTCGATGATCGCAGGGGGCCAGCAGTCCGATGTGCGCCGCGGTGGGTTGCTGGCAGTGAGCCTCACGAAGCGAGGCTATGGGGACTGCAGAGGCGCTTGGGAGAATCGCTAGGCTCTCGGAGCATCGCAGGACGGTGGTGTCATGCTCGAGTCGGCCGGGTTGAGGCGTCTTGGACAGGCGCGTAGCGCTGTGGCTCTCGGGCTTCACGGTGCAGGGATCCAATCACGGTGCCGGGTACCGTGTCGGCCAAGGCTTGTCTCTCAAACGCGCTGGACCTCAGAATTGGTCTCCCCACCGGTAGCCCTCCTGCAACCGCCCGCCAAATTCCCACCGTGTCCCTGTCTCTTCCGAGCATTGCCCTCGAAACCTCCTCCTCTCTCTCCCGGTTTCCCAACTGTGCCTTAATTCCCACACCTGTACGATCGTTAACTCCCCCGCGCAACCCACCGCATCTTGGTGTACCTCGACGACTTAATAGCGACACACACACCTACTGGACACTAATTCACCACGTCGCGCACACCCACAAGCCCCGGCGGCTACTCTGTAATCTGGTGGAATTGAGACGAACACATCCGGAAGTTTGCGCGTGAGAAGGAACACGACCCCTCGTCCAACGGTGGAGTGCTAGGAAAGGCACTACCTTGAGGCTTGACGACACCATACTGCCGGGTAACAAGTGAAGATCACTCGTCATGTCTCTGAAGCAGGTGCGCTCCTTCCTCCCGCGCGTCGCCGCTCCTGCCGAGTTCAATTACTGATAGGTGGGGTAGGAAATCGAAACCTGGGTGGCAGCCCTCGCCAGCTACGACAACAATGAGTTCGACGTCGCATTGAAGGTCTTTGACACAATCTCCGATACGTCCAAGATTCTGTTCAACTGCGGCGTAATCCATGCCACACTTGGCGAGCATGAGAAGGCGGTAAGTTGAACAATGGCTCCAGTAGTAGGAGTACGTGCTGATGGCTACACAGGTCGACTGCTACCAGCGCGCTGTGCGTCTGGACCAGTACCTCGCAGTGGCATACTTCCAGCAGGGTGTGTCAAACTTCCTTATGGGCGACTTCGAGGAAGCCCTCGCCAACTTCAACGACACACTCCTCTACCTACGCGGAAACAACAACATCGATTACGAACAATTGGGTCTCAAGTTCAAGCTATACTCCTGCGAGGTACTGTTCAATCGCGGTCTTTGCTACATCTACCTCCAGCAAAGAGACGCCGGTCTACAGGATCTGTCTTTCGCAGCCAAGGAGAAAGTGGTGCCCGACCATGATGTGATCGACGAGGCTATTCGGGAGGAAGCAGAAGGCTACACTGTCTTCTCCATTCCCGTCGGCATTGTCTACCGTCCCAACGAAGCCAAGGTCAAGAACCTGAAGACAAAGGACTATCTTGGAAAAGCCCGCCTGGTCGCTGCTTCAGACCGGGCCAATGCCTTTACTGGCTTCGCTGGCGCCGAAATCAAGAAGGGAGGCCAGGCCGCAAAAGATGACAGAACTGAGGATAAGATCTCGTACGCGGCGACCAACCTTGTCAAGCCAGAACTTCAGAGCAGAGCACGCCAGCAGTCAGAACCACCAATGAACCGTAACATGTTCCCACCCACACCGCCACCGGAGGCAGACAGAAGGTCTGGTGACAGGAGATCTGGTGGAGAGCGGAGACCTGCCGCCGATGCTCCCATGAGCCGCGCGCAATCCGTACGAGGCGGTGGCCCTAAGCCTCAGCCTCTGAACCTTGGACGAGCTGCCTTTGATCAGCAAAGCAACAACGAGCCGCCTCGTCGCCAGCCAACACAGCGCTCCGCCTCTGAACGTCCACCACCAAGTCGTTCAGAGTCAATGCGAGACCGAGGGCAACGTGATCAGCGGGATCAGCGAGACCAGCGAGACCGTGACTACAGGCCACGTCGCCGTGGGTCTGACGATGATATCATTGACGACTACTACGACAATGACCCCTACCCGCCTTCTCGTGGGAGCCGCGGGGCATACGCTCGCTCAAAACAGAGCAGGCGACCGGCTTACATTGAAGAAGAAGACGAAGACGACTACGATGGTAGTGATCTTGATGATGCCGAATTCGAGATGATGTCTCGCACAAAATCCAGGAGACGATCCCCCGCCCGCTCCGCCAGATCTGGTGGTAGCACCCGCGGTGCAGGCAGCAAAGTCAGAGTGAAGGTCCACTCTAGCGACACACGTTACGTCTTTATCAGTTCCGATCAGTTAATCACTGAATTCTGGCAACAGATTCGGGAGAAGTTCGGTGTACGAAATAAGTTCAAGGTGGAGTTCAAAGACGATGGCGACATGATCACCATGGCCGACCAGGACGATCTTGACATGGCCATTCAGACGGCGAAGAGTGTTGCAAGGAAGGAAGGCAGCGATATGGCCAAGATGGAGGTAAGTTCTTCGTTCACTTTCACCTTGAAGACTACGTACTAACTACTTTATCAGGTTTGGGTTAGAGAAGTATAGACTAGAGATACCCCAGCATCACGCATTATTACGATCCACATTACATTTCCTTTCATCCTCGCGAACGCATATTGACTGCTTCGGCGTACTTGCTTTGACAGCGCTCGATCTTGCTGTATTTGTAGCGAGCATAATTGCTGGTTTTTGCTGGCATGCATAAACACCTGTACACTCTTTTTTCACAGCCGGACTGTTGATCCGCTATTAGAGTCGGCTTTGCATGTATGAAAGGCGTAATTGAACCTTACGAATGAAGAACTACCACCAACAATTGTTTCTGCCGCAATGTGATATCGTGTAAATACCTGCATTGATACCCGGAGTACCTGCAGTAGATAGCTACCACGCAGTTTAGGCCTTCTGCATGCGCCACCAGCGCGTGGAAGTACCAACAACCAGGTTTTCAGACTACCATTCAAGTTACTTTCGCTGCGCCGCAGACCAACTAGTCCTTGACGCCACCGTGCCGTATGAAAGTAATCTACCGAGTACGAATCACCATCGTTGTTGCAATTTGCCAACAAACCCAAAGCCTGTCTCGGCGAACTGACTGGCGCGTGCAATGGCAACAGACAGCTCATGAGCGCCAAGGCACACTTCACGATAGCCAAACGATACCGTCCACCAACTTGTTCATCTCGACGTATGTGCATACGCCACGCGTGTGCTTCCGATACGTCCGATTACGCGCCCGAAACAGCTCGTGACAAACCCGCGGGAAATCCGGACGGCAAATAACAAATCCGCGTCTCCGATCTCGCCATCGTGCAAAAGAAAGGACGTCACACACCGTTCTGTCAAACTCAGCAGCCGACGCGCGTATTCTCGCCAATAACGTTAGTACTCGTAAAGGAAGCAGAGAAGAATCTCAACAAGGCGAAGTGAAACTCGAGCCAAGCTGAGACTGCGTCTCTGGAGACGTGAAAAGGAAGAAAGAAGAAAAGACGAACACGATGCGGTTCAATCCGAAAAGTCTTTTTTGCTAAGCATTTCTGTGACAGCAAGACAGTGCTTGGTATGTTCCAGTTGTGTGGGTTACAGAACCTTCATACGCGTCGGTGCGGGTGACGCGCATGGTGTTTCGGATCTTTGTGTGGAGAGAGCAGTGACGTACTGCGATGACTGATGGCGAAAGATGTGAGGTGGTGAGACGAACTGCCAAAAGTCTAATTGAAAGCACTGCAATGACAAACAGAAAGGACAGAGTATGTAGCCGTGTTCTCGTCATTGTTATACATAATGTTACAAGATCGTTATAAGACCGTTTTTAGAGAAGACTTTGGGGATATTGTTTCACACTACTGGTATGTGTGCTTTCGTGCCTGAACGCCTTCTTTTTCAACGCTCTTCCTCAAACCAGAGTTTGCTTCTTTGTACATGGCGTCGAGAATCGTTCGTTGCCCTGCGATGGCTACTCGCATTTCCGCCTAACTCGTTCGCCTGGCGCTGGCGCATTGTCTCCTTGTATGAGATCGATTCGGGTTTACGCGGGAAGTAGGATCTCGGCCCAGCTGCTGTGCAAAAAGGTTACGCCAATCTACACGCGGTCATTAGCATTTGCCCTTGCCTCTGTTTTCCTTCTCTATCGTGCTCTATCCTTCATCTGATATTTTCGAGAACCCAGGGCGACTTACAGCGAACATTCCCGCGGCAGTAACGATACTCCTGTTATCCTTGCTCGTAAAGGCTGAGATGGTGCTGGACGCGAAGCTGGGCTCGTTGAGGGTACGGCCCTTGCCTGTCATCTGCTTGGGTGGCATCGTTGCGGAGACGGGTGAGACGCTGCACAATCCGTCAGTCTCGAATAGTCTGGGTATTTATCTGCGGAGGGCGTACGGAGTTTGCGATCGCAGAATTGGGCTGTTGCGGGGTTGCTATCGATGCGCTTTGGACATTGGTGATGATGTTTTTTGGCTAAGAAGGGTCGAGCGTCATCGGTTGCTTATGTAAGGGTCCGTCTTTCAACAGTCCATCATGAGCCTTCCCTACGTCTTTCGTCTCATGGCACAACATGTCTGCGCAAGGTTTCTGAGATACGAGATATCACCGCATATATGTACAGGAAGTCGTCCTGAAAGATAGCATGGCATCGTACTATTACAAGTTATTCACAAGCACGGCTGAGCCTTCCTCCCAATCTACGCCTTCTACTATAGCCATGTCGTTTTCCAAGGCCTAACCCTCAGCCGCGCAATGAATACGTTGGATAACCCCGTGTGCAGAATCAGATATTCGCTATCCCAAAACGACCCGTGAAAGATTAGAACGCCGTGAATGCTGGTCTGAATGTCCCAAAAGTGAAACACAACAACTAAATGTGAAAAAATGGAAAGCATCCTGATGAAGAGTTGCTACCATCAATATTCCCAGCGTCAAGCTGAGATGAAGGCTGGACAGCCTATTCCTTCTTGCTTGCCAGGATACTGTATTGACCACCGCAACCAGCCCATGTAAGCTTCGTCTCACGTACAGCGGTGTTGTCGATCAAGGTAGGGACCTCAATGTCGTCGTCGGTACCCTGACCCGTTTGGAAGTTGACCGAGAAACCCCACGAGTAAGCCTTGCCGTCCTTGTCAACGACGATGGAGTGATCAGGACCGCATGCACCAGCGACAATGTTCTTGAGGTCGGGAAGCGGTGTCGGCTGCACGACGATCTTCGCCTTGCCGTTGTTCTTGAGAACCTTGTGCTCATCCGTCTCTGCATCAAGCTGGGACGGAGGAAGACCAGTCTGTGAGCCGTCGCAGCGACCCCAGACTAGCACCTGTCCATCCTTGGTGATGGCCAAGTTGTGATGCGAGCCTCCTGCCAATGATTGGACGCCCTTGCCTTCCAAACTGTGTATGATCTTGGGTTGGAGAACGCTAGCATCATCTGCACCAGCATTCTTGGTGTAACCAGTCTCACAGTAGTTGTTCGCACCCCAGCCCCAGACGTGCCCATCTTCTGCGATGGCAAGACCGTGGTAGTCGCCGGATGCGATGTGTGTTATGCGTTGGCTGTGCTTCTTGATGGAAGAGTCGTGGAAACCAATCTTGTTGGGCTGCAAACCTTGGATGAGATTGCGCTCAGTGACACGGCGTCCAAGCTGGTTTTGCTGCCCGTTGCCCCAAGCATATACGTGGTGGTCCTTGTCCAGGGCGTAGACGTGGTTGGTACCACACACGAGCTGAATGACCTTCTTTATGCTGTCGATGTAGACGGGTCGAGGCGCTGTATGATTGTCGCGTTCGAAACCCATGATACCTTCGTTCTTTCGGAATGTGCCCCATCCATAGACCGCGCCCTCAGTAGTGAGTGCGAAAGAGCAGCTATCGCCGGCAGCGACGTCGACAAAGGTGGTGTCTTCAGGGAAGAACTCGGATGGTACGGGCGTTGGTGTGGCCTCAGCGTCGTTCAAGCCGCCGGTCTCATCCTCAGAGTCGGAGTCAGAGTCGTCCGCGTCTAGATCACGCATCTTGACGGGTGCGTTCGACGTGTCGCGTCCAAGGGCATTGTTGTCGTTGACACCCCATGTCAGGATTTTGTTGTCTTTTGTGAGTGCGACAACGTGCATGCCGCCAGTAGCAATCTTGACAACGTTCAAGTTGGACAGAGGCTCGTTGTAGCGCGGCCGCTTCACGTCGATGGCCTTGCTTGTGGCGCCGAAGCCGAGCTCGCCAGAAGAGCCTTCACCAAAGACAAAAACCTTCAGAGGTTCCGTATAGCGGATCTCGTTGATCTCAGTCTTCTTGCCCTTGTTGCGACGCGGGCCCTTGGGGTTCGGGATCAGAGCCGGATCGACCTTCGCGGCTTCGGGCTCTGGCGTTGCGGTCTTTGACGCGGCTTTCGGGGCGGCTTTCGCTGCTGCTTTCGGGGCAGCCTTGGGGGCAGCTTTCGCTACCTTGGGCTTCTTCACGGCGGGCGCAGGCGCGTCTTCGACCTCCGGTTCGCTTTCATCGTCCTTCTTGCGCTTGGTCGTCTTCTTAGGCGCGGCCGCGGGTTCAGGTGCAGGAGTCTCTGTCTTCTTTGCGCGACTGCGTCCAGCAGCTGCTGTCTTCTTAGCGGTTGACCTTGTTTCGGACGCGTTGAGCTTACGCTTCGGTGGAGCTGCCTCGACTTCGTTGGTGTCTTCGTCGGCCATCTCGACGTCCTCAGTTTCCTCGGCTTCCTCAGCTATGCCGTTGGCGACAGGCGCGTCTTCGGCTTTCTTCGCGCCTCTTCGTGGGACTGCGAGGTTTGTCAGCGATAGCATGGTTACTGTGGGTGGACGTGACGTACGGGTGCCGTTCACCTTGACATCTTTGGCGTCTTTCTTCTCAGCGGGCTTTGCGCTCGCAGAACGGGAAGCTCTAGCCATTGCGCGCGACACAAACGAGAGTTGGCGACACGAACAAAGGTTGATGCGCGTAAAAGTGTTTGGATTGGAAGTTGTTGTGAGGTGGCTGGTGTTGTCGTGTACATAGAAAAATGTTGAACTGCATTTAGCAAGGCTGGCGCTAGACTTCACATGGACCAGCTCGCTGCAGCCACGGCCCGTCAACCATTCACCGCGTACGTCACTGCCTGATTGGCTACCTAGGCAGCCTGGCTACCATCGACTGACTGACCGTCCGACACTCGTTCGTAACATTTAATATCACATGTCTCGTTACCACTGCAAGCCTTTTGCTGCTTTGTCTCCTGTTTTCAGCACGTCACTGTGTCGATCCTCGGTGTCGGCGACCTTCACTCGTGGCCGTCTTATGAACCACGGCTGACCGAGAAGCTGTACCGCTCACACGTACGTTGTTCTTATGTAATCTACACAGTGTGGATATCCAGAATGGGTCTGGTTCATGCTATACGGAAATGGTTGCTGAGCTTACACACTTCAAGACAAGGGGATGTCGGCCACCCCACAGCATGCAGCTAGAGCTCAAAGAAGATTCTGCGATATATAATGTCTACGTTGAAAATTTGTCATCGAATCAGTCAGCGTGGCCGAGGTAAGCATTTCTCCTAGCTCCTGACATCTTCTC